TTAACAGTTGCAGGAAAGGGAAGGTGCAATAAAGCACTAGTGGAGAAGAGTGACTGTTCTCTTTGGTGTATAAACATATATTTGCGGTGTACATAAATCAAGTGAAGGCTATACAAAGACTTTTTGGGTATGTAAATTAGAATAAAAAAAAAATAGTAAAGAGCTCTATTATCTCTTTTGAGAGCTAGCAATTATTTCTATAGGTTTAATATAGAGTTATAAATTACTTGTTTCACCTTTAATTCATGTAAGCATTTGATGATGTTAGAAGAGTTTTAAACATATATTATTCTTTACTCAGTCATGATTCTGTAGAAATTAGCTAGATTGCCCTATTATTTACTGTCGAAGAGTCCAAAGACGTGAAAAGTGTCTGTTGTAGATTTTCCTTACTCATGTATAATCATCCAGGTTTGATCTATAAGGGGTCAAAATGGGGTGTAACACTTGCCGTGTGATTCAACACAAAATACGCTTATCACACCCAGATCTTGAATGAAATTGAAATGCCATTCAATCTTTTTGCTCTCATTAATGTCTTATGCATGATCTACCATAACTTTTAAAAACTTGTTGAATGCTGAATACTAATTGCTACCGTATTAATCTTGAGTCCTCCCATATTCTTCTCTAGGTTGATGTTGGTATGAAGGTGTTGATCCATCCTACAGCACTATACCAAAAATTTGACTCATGAAATCGCTTGCTTCAAACCCACCATACAAAGTTTTTAGTGAGTGTGTCTTAGGGTATAGACAATGACAAAAACACTAGACGGTTGTTTTGGCGTGGTGGTTCGTATTAACATCAGCAGATACAGATATCTTCATTTAAATTTTTTAGTGTCAATAGTTTTAATCAAGAGTACAATTGATCATTAACACTTTTGTTTTATATTAGATTTAATATGCAGTTAGCAAATGATCTGAAATTTGTTGTCAGATGGTTGTTGTTATGATACGTCCACTGAGAACGGTCGATTGCTAGGAACAGACGGCGTTTACGTGGCAATAACCGGGGAAGAAGTCCAAGACCTTGCTGTACGACAGACGGCGCAAGCGCCAAGTTCAAAAGAGTCAGAAATATGGATAAGGATTTTTATTATGGTGAAGTTTTAGGAGAAATTGGAAATGCAGGACTAATTTAAGGATTCCTTTTGATTGTTATGCCAGTTAAATACTCTACTTTCTAGGGTATAGGGCAGTGAATGTGGCTGATTTTGGGATCTCTTAGGTTTAGGTTTTAGGGCTTAGATTCTTTTAGAGATTGGGAGATCGATCTCCTCTCGAATAGAGATTACTTGTAATCTTGTTTTTTTTTCTTGTTAGTTTGATTTCTGCCACTAAAATCTACTGTATTCCGTGATTTTCATTGGTTTTGGAAAGTTTTCCCTGTTCTTCGAAGATTGCATTAGGAAAATACTTGGTCTACAAGTGTTTTATGAAGAGAAGTACTTTGAGTTCCGCAATGTACACCCAAGGTAGATCTGAGTTCGTACAAGCAACCTAGTCAGTAGAATTCGGCAAAAACGACACGAGTAAAAGGGTTGATTCTAATGAGAAATCAGAAGAACGAAAGCAGAATTTAGCGGATTGGAGAATAGAAAACAAGTAAAATACTTTGATTAACAACAACAACAAGAAAACAAAGCAAATACATTTTTCTTCTCAATTCGAGAGAAAGATATCCTCCCCAAAATCTCTAGCCAATACATGAGCCAATCAACACAAAACCCTAGATCTCAAAGATTGCAGTTCAATCTCAAGATGCCCTACCCTACCTCTCGAAAACCAAGACTATAATCTAAATGCCAAGAGGATGTTACAAAGAATCCTAAACAGCCCTAACTTTAAATTTTCCCTCGCATAATCAGCAGTTTTAAAGAACAACACAGTTGGGCCCAGATTAAGACTTCTGCCCCTTCTTCTGGCTCCTGGTTCCGCCCCATGCTGGCCCGTCCTGTACCGAAGACCCATGTGGACAAACCTGAACCAGCCTCCATTTGGAACAGTTAGCCTGTTGGCCACCAGTCAACAATTATCCCCCTCCCTAAGACTCATCTTGTCCTCAAGGTGAAAAGAAGGAATTGGAATCTCACTCTGTTCGCTCTGGTTCAAGTGGCATCAACTCTGGAATGTCTTTCATCCTAGATAACGCACTATCCTTGGTTCCCCTTTTTATTAACTCTGCTCCACTAATCTCCAGTTTCTAATCCACTTCCAGCCTCACTTCTCAGCGGTATATGGCAAACGTCCACACAATTACATGCTCTCTAGAGCTCTCTCAATATGCGAACAACATGGAAACTGAGTAGTATAGTGGCCGTCAATTCAATCGATATGGCCACTGATTCTTATGCATTCACGCCACATCTCATAGAAGACCTAACATCTTGACATGGAGTCAATTTCCGTTCGCTCTTGTAAGAAACACTGATTTCATCTACCTCTATAGGCTCTTTAGCTTCAAGAATACTCTTTCTCCCACATCATATTGTATTTCTCCTGCTGTGTATGCTGCCCGCTTCTTCATGATTTGTGTGATGGTAAATCGCATGAAATTCTTGTTGTAGTAGTATATAGAGGGAAACAATTGAATCGGGTGAAATGATGGACATTGACTGTCTCCTTATATATGATTATGATATGCATGGATTAGATGAAACTATGATTGCTTGAATAGTCCAACATAATCTTGGCACATGACTGAAGTGTGTTGAATTTACGTCAAAAGGATAAGTGATAAGACACTTAGGTTGTGTTTAACATCCTACTATTTTAAATACATTCTGACGAAAACGAATCGTCATTTGTAACATTTATAATAGAGATCTTGTTTCACGACTCAGTATCTCAGTAAGAAATTCTATGTTGTTATAGAGTATTGATTGATTTATTGAGTCATCTTGAATACTATGATACAATGGTCACTTGATTCATCCGAAGAGGTTTTGCAATGATAACAAAACCGATAAAGAGAGTGTTTTCTTGATTTGTGCAGGGATCGCTAAGAACATGATGAATCGGAAGTTTTGTTAATGTATAGACTACAATTGTCCGTAATAGAGTTGAGTTCATATGTTCTTAGTGGTATTCGCCAGGAATCATCTACAGCAGAGGAGAAATTGTAGGAGATAAGAAAATTTTAATATAGAGAAAACCGCAAAAAGATAAATCTATAGCGTAGGCCCATTGATAATCCACTATTAGAATAGGAGAGATACTAAAAATCCCCTTATCTCCCATTAAAAGAAGAGGATTATGTAGGAACACATTGATTGATTCTGGATATGCAGGAGATTATTAAAGTTAGTATTCACATCGTATATAATTAAAAAGCATAATAAACATATAATTTGAAGGACAAAACATGTAAAGACTCGCGATGATTACCTATGGTGCGTGTGTAATATAACGGGTGGATTGGAGCCAAAAGAAATGTAAGAGGAGCTCTTTATTTTCCTATTATCTTCAGCTCATCTCGCGTTCAATAGGAAAAAGAGAAGCATTATTTATAGTCTTTCTGGGTGGAACATTTCGGTTGAATCAAACATGACCAAAAATTCAACAACACTCTAATGCACATGGTCTATATTGTTCACATTGTAGTTGATAATTATCAAAACAATTGAACGACTTTAATGATGCAAAATCGAGTGAAAATTTGCCTTGTTATATTTCGTTCATGAGCTGCTCGATTTTACTATAAGTTGCCACAATCGAAAGTCATTTAATACATCAAATTAATGGCGTCAAAGAGTTCCAAAATATAATTCAATGCTTCAGTTTGTTATCTTCATTTGTTCATTGCATCCTTCGCATAAGATTCAATTAGTCGTAATGTTGAGTTTCAATTTAGAGTTTGATCTTGATGAATCTCAAGGTCAGTAACTCGTGATAGCTGGAATTTTGGCAGATACTAGCCTGAGTTGGACCGGGTTGATTTCGATTATTGGAAGTTTTCCAAATTCAAATATCACATTGAGATTTGTGGGAACCTATGAATTTTTGGACGTCATATTAAGTTTAATATTTGAGGCATCAAAATACAATCTTCTATGCTCTTTGTACTAATGTGAGTCTTTAGTGTTAGCATATTCTAATGGTGAAATTTTATTCACTGCAAAAGTTCTTTGTAGGAAATAAAATTAAACTTAGTAAGAAATTTTAATTGCAATCTTCCCCGAACATTTATTTATGTAGTTGTTCACGTTCGTAGGACTTTTACAAAGCATAACAATGGACATTCTGAGCAAAACTGGAAATACCGAACAACAATTCCTTTACTTCAGTGACTTTCTTAAGCTGGTATCATAAAGGTGCCCAATATGACAATGTGTTTCAAGTACTGGTGCCCTGCATCTAGCGAATTTAAAGGGCCAGATACTTTGGCATAAGATGCTTCAAACCTTATTGGGAGCTCGGGGTACTAATCTGTGAGTTAAGCTTACGTGTTACGTATACAAACTGGTCCTAGGTAGATTCAAACTTCATTTGCCCAATCAAAAGAGAGATTTGGGCCCAACCTTAAAGATAAAAGAAGAATATCAGATGCTCAACAGATATTGTTTTATGTCTGGTGCGTGAGGTAATCTGAAATTTGGTTGCCTAATTCCAAGTTATGTCAACTGGTGTTTTTATCCCAGGCCATATTGATCGCTTAGATTTCAGCTCTTATGTAGCAATAAGCAGTCAAACAGCATAGCATTAAAAAAAGATAAAATAAAACCATACGCAGCAGTAATAACATGTTCAGTGTGTGAAAAACAAATCCAGAAATAATTGTAAGTCCAACAACAGCAGATAGCATGTCTTATCTTGTCAGCGATGGTTTGCCAAAAATGTAATCAGTCCGTTATCTATAGGATCAAAGTATTGTTCTCTTACTTATCAACAAAAAACACATAAATGTGTAGAGAAGAATAAGAAAAAAAAAAATAGTGCTCAAAGCAGAAATAGTAGTGTAAGGTGAGTTTGATAAGGTGAAAAATACCTGTGCACACCGAAATCAAAAAACATATATGCTATCAGCGTCAAGCTCTGCACAAGTTCCAGCCTCTGGTTCATAATGAATGATTGACGCATTTGGACCAACAGATGAGATGGTTGGAAAACTCAATCCTTTAAAGTGCTTCAAAACAAAAAACAGAAATAAACAATCTGCTGTTTGCATAGAATAGACAAAAAAAGCTAAAACAAGGCAATCATTTGCCTCACATATAAAAGAAATAAATAAAAGGGCAAGACATGTCATTAATTCTAGTAAATAGCTATTGAACCAACAGTATACAAATATTAGAGAAGAAAATGAGTATCAGGGATTTCAAGGTCAAGGCCATGGAAGCCCATAGGGCATTGGCATGTCCCAGGATCCATCAAAGAAGGCTTACCTCTTTCTTAGCACGAAAACTCTCCAATTTGTCACTCACGGATACCTCTGTCAATTTTTCAGTTTCCCTGCCAGCAATTTTAGATGAAAATAGGTACGATATGAAAAAAAGCTCATTAATATGGATAAGAATTTAAAATAAAAGAGTGCAAGACCAATATTTATCTTGTAGCAAAAATGTTTTATAGAAACAATCATCTATATGCAGCCCACCTAAGCCTATTGGTCAGAATCTTAGACTTCTAAAGAAGAGGTCTTCCGTCTTAGGTTCGAGATTTTGGATATGTAATGTGCATGAATTGAGATTAAATTTGCTCAAAGTTCCAAGAAAAAGCATCAATTGAGATTTATACTTTGGAAATTAGAGGCTAATTGTTTTATCCTGCAAAGCAAAGTCATTATGCGGATAAATCAAGGCTCGCTAACATGTAAAAGGTAACAACTACGAGAGGACAAGGTACTTATTAATGATCCCAATTTTTCTTGAATGAAAAATGCATTGTGGACAGTTTTCAATGCAACTTCTGAGTGTATTTTGTAGATAAAAGATGAAACTTTTTTATTTTTGTTTTCACAAATTTTCAATCATAATCGAGATTGCAGATCCAACCACATTAACAAGGGCTTGTTGATAGTGAATCATGCTCTACAGAAGCTCCACCTCTCCACTACTCTTCATGATTCTACCTGCAACCGGTTCAAAACATGCCACCACTAACTTCTGCAACACATCTGACTACGCTGATGATTTCGCATACACCGTTGATCACAAACTACTCAGGGCAATACTGTATTTATACACTTACTATTACACATATAAATGTATCCATTTGCCATATTTGAAGTTAATGAAGTCATAGCTGTAACTCATCCTCACTGGAATTCAGACATGCAATTTCCTTATAGGTTCTTCATTCTACAGCTTGCTCTGCTTTCTGTATTTCTCCTTCTTCCAATACTGTATTGCTTTTAGATCTTCAACATGATATCAAAGCTACTTGCTTAACAGCCCCTAAGAAAATTCCTTATTCTTCTTCTTATGGCCAACTCAACAAATTCCTCTACCAACACTCCAACTTCCCACAGTCCTATCTAAAACGCCATGGATGAAATCTCCATTCAAACTTCTCTAAATTTTCTTCTCTCAAATATCAAAAATATTGTGCACATCCAACTTATTGACAACAACTACGGAACTACCCCACTTGGCATTCCCAAATCTATAAACTATTCATTGCCAATGGCTTTGCAAGTCATCTCGATGACATGACACCCTGCCCACCGAAACACCTCGTCTTGGACACTGGGCAACTCACTTTGAACACATAATACATTCGATGGCTCCTCCAAGATCAAAACTTAGTTGTTGCCTTCTTCTTCATCATCTCTCCATCTAGTCTACCTTACATTCTCAATTTTAATTCCAGCCACTCCATTTGTACTATGCTAGAACAGTGCCTATACTCTATCAATTGGTCCAAAGTTATTCAGCTGAAGAATGAACTCTACTCTCTCACCATAAAAAATCAGTCTATGACTAACTACCTTTCTACTATTAAGAAACTTGTTTATAACATTATCGTTGTCGGTGGCTCCATCAATACGGGCGACGTCATTCTTTACATTTTGAATGGCCTTCCCCCAAACTATCAAGCCTTCTAAACAACTTTTCAACCATCATTCAAGACGATCTCCACTCTCTATTGAGCAACAAGCAAGTGTGAGGCAGGAAACAAATTGAGACGATCAGCACGCTCAGGAAGGATCGGCCAAGTCACTCATGTGCCAAACCTTGGACAGAGGGTTCCGATTCAAACAGAGGCAGTTGGTCTGGCTAGGTTCACACAAAGGATCGGGAGGCTGCTTTGTTGGTTCCATTCAGACGTAGAGATGTGGGGGGTTGTTCGTGCGAGTGAAGCGGGGTGGGACTGAGGAGGCTGCGGGAATTTGGTTAGAGTCGTAAGTGGAGGAGAGAGTCTGGGCAGGTCGCAGGTGAGGCTTGAGGGAGTCTAGGCCAGGAGTTGGAAGTGGGCGTGCCCTGGTTTAAGGTTGGGCCGGCCGAGTGCAGCGGGAGCAGTTTCACGAAGCTTGTTCGCTTGTTGGGTGTGACTGGATGGAGGAGATCAGGACAGCATGGGTTGAAGTCGAACTCGGCTCGCGTGTGAGAACGTGAGACGGAGAACTGCAGTAGAGGGCTCCAAAATGAACGAGAATCTCCACTGAATTGCATAAGAGAGCATAAGTTCTTCCGCTATGTTTCTTTGTTCTTTTTACACGCATTGAGGCAGCGATTGCTTCAACGACGTGGAGGAGGCGACGTGCGCGAGCACGACGTGGGCTTTCTCTCCTCTCTTTTTTTTAATTAATTTTAATTTAATTAGTTTAATAGAAATTTTATTAAATTTCAACATTATTGAACAAGACAACCTATACATAGGATAGAAATATCGAAGGGAAGCCAAATTATACATAGGACAGAAATATTGAAGGGAAGCCAAATTTGGTGAACGTGAATAAGCAGACACTGACTAAAAAAAAGGTTATTAGTTCTCTTATTTTCCCAAATAGAACAATTAGGAAAGAAAAAGTATAAAAACTTACTGATGCTTTCTTTTGTGTGTTTCCTCTGGTTCAGTAAAGAAACCAGCAGCTCCATAAACCTTTTGCATCTGCATCAAATAGAACTTAATATGAACTGCTCCGTTCCATTGATAGTTTAACTATAAAAAGTAATCAGAAATTGAATATTTTACGAGTTAAAATACTTAAAAATCATCAAAGGATTAACCTCTCTGTACGACAAGGATACGACAGCATGCATCAACCCCTCCCTAGATATTGCACTTGGGGAGTTTAATGAACTATGCACGCCTCTTTTTTATTAGTGTGCTATAAAGTAGACTAAAAAAGGTGAAAAGAAGGGAAAATTAATTAATCCATCAATTTTCTGAGTTCAATTTTTATTTGGAGGAAATACTATCAATATGACTTCTGTACTTATGGAAAAAATGTTAAGGCATCATGTCCAATACTTGTGATAAAAGAAATTTAGAAAAATATTTACCAAAAAAAAGCACTAGAACTTGAAATGTTTTCATTATTTACCTTGCAAATATTACTCAATTCAATAGATTATCACGATTGTGACTTGACATGCAAAAACATTCCACTAATTCAGCTATACTACTTTCCCAAAGTAAAGTTCAGTGAGTTGCAAAAATGATAGACCGGTCCCTCCTAGATTGCCCAGGAGTTACGTATACGGGGCGGAACCAGGCCCGCTCCCCTTGGGATGGGACTGGGGGGAAATTCAAATGGGAAGGGGCTGGCTAAGGGGGGGGAGGGGGGGAGGAGGGAGGTGATTGGAAAATTTCTGCATCCACTTCCTCTCAAATGAAAGTTTATCAACATTATCAAGTATTATGCACCAAGAGTACACTCAATCACATTGTGGCACCAAGAGAGTCACACACACTTGAACTTAGCTCAACTATAGCAGAAGGCAGACACGTCATAAGAGCCATAAATTACATAAACCATTTGATCCCAAACAAACCAAAACCTCTAATAATACATGATAGAGAGTGAATCAATATGAAATCAAAGTTGGCTTATCTACACTAGTGATCATACCCATTTCCAAACCAAAATTTTATGGGTGAGTGTCAATCACATGGTATTTCTATACCAACATATGTTTCAACCATCTAATGTGAGGCTAAAATCAAAGGCTTTCATAAGCCTTAACATTAAGTTCTCCCCCAAAATTGTTTTTTGGATCGCAAATGAAGTTAGCCGCCCATGCTCCAATGCATTATGCATGATAAAGTTACATCCAAACAACAAATGATTGCAAGCTAGCTAGAATGATATTCAGCATACTGATAACTCTGTTTAACCTCTGCAATACTGATATTAACCAAAATGGCTAAAGAAATACTACAAAACAGTTTCCTTAATTTGATACATGATTAATCTTATAATACATCACAATGAATATCCTGTCTTTATTGTCCAGAACTGCCCAAAAATTCTCTTTAGGGAGAAGTTCAATAAATATTCATTAGCATATCATTCATCAATAAATGAATGATGTCGGAGATTGGAAGGAGAGAAATAAGAAAACGATAACCTTTAATAGAAGGTTTGGCATACAAATGGAGTGAAGTAGGCGTATCAAAGGGTGCTTCAAATAGCATCCATAAATTTCAGCTAAGATTAATCCATGCACTGCACTAAGATTTGAGTTAAAAAAATAGCTCCTATTAAATGATAATTATAGTATTAACTATAAAAATTGGCAGCCTAAACTTCTACAGGAATTGCATTTAATGCCCAGTGGCGAACAAATATTCACAAATTCTAAGATAGCCAGTGAGCCTCAGCAAACAGATCATCTAGCCAAGACTGCCAATTAAAAATTTGAAGACAATCACAAGCATGATTACGTCTCTTTTATTCATAGCTAGGATTTTCAATTCCCTAGCAACAATTCATTACATTGCTTCCATGCATCATCTTATACCTAGAACGAAAAGAATAGTAGCATCAAATTCAATCTGAAAAACTACATTCAAAACCAAAAACATTTATCTTTATCATTTTCAATAGGGGGAAAAGCAAATCAATGCTCGTTACGACAGCAAGCTTGAATATAAATATAAGAGCAGGAACCTTATTATCACACAACTATATTAATCATGCTTAGCGTCCAGGTCAACAGAAAGTCCAATGACATCGGGAGTAAAAACTAATACAAAAAAGGTTTTGATGCAAAAGGATGCAGACAGCAAATATATGGCACAACCGCACAACTCACCTCACCATCCAGCCACACAAGGTATTGGACAACAGCTGCACCATCCCGAATATGCGCTTTTCTTAAACCATCCAACTCAAAATGATTCTGCAATAAGATGACACAATAGTTGGTTACCTCATCAACGAAGCTTAATAACAATAGTTAAGGACATACATGAGATGGAATAGAAATGTAAGTTAACCAAATTATTAACCAAATCAACTTATAAGACTAATGAAGTAGCTAGTAGTTACATGTATTAGGCATAAAATTATTTAAGAGTAGATGAATAAACTGAGTGGAAAACAGTAATGATAATACTAAACTGAGCAAAACACAAAATAGGTATTATGACGCCACAAACATGAGATAACTCTTTTACCAATGGATTAAAAGAACACCAACATTATATGAATTGGGCTACAACAAAGGAAAGTTTCATAACGTCTTTTTAAGATTCATGTCTCCTTAAAATGATGGTAGAAACTGAAGATGAGAGGAAATGGAAGCTCCACTATAAGTAGGCACCTGCCAACTTAGCAAATGTCTTGAATTGCTGAAACAGTTTGTGGCAACCAACGAGGCAGATCACAAGTAAAAGAATGAAAATGAATCTACCTTCAAGAGCGTTAACTATTAAAAATTCCTTGAAAAAAAATTGTTTGGAAGATAGAAAAATAGTCTCAATAATAATTTAAATAATATTTTGATAAAACAACAACTCCTTCACAATGATTACCGAATAAAGCACTGCTTCCAGCAAATATTTACCATATTATCAAAAGTATAAAAAGGTTCCTAACTACATATGATCAATATTATCCTAAAGTTGAAACTTATAGAACGACTCCTCAATGATTTGCGCACAAATTCAGTATCAGTGTCAAGCAGATACAAAATGGAAAATCAGATGATACCAATTCACATCTTTTATAGTTAAATTTAGGAAAAGAAATAGAGGGGAAGTGAGGAAAAGAACTTAAGGAGAAAAAGAATTTGGATTGAATGAGGAGGAACTTGATTGAGGTAAATTTTGTAAGATTTTATATTGCCTATTTTATTTTTTATTTGAATGCATACTCTTTTTTTTTTTGTAGATTGTGTTGTGATCTCTCTAATGTATTTGAATGCATACATAGAAATGAAGAAATTTATGTTTTAGGTTGTACAAAAAAGAAAAAGAAATCAGAGTATTTTAAGTGAACTAGTTTACCCAAATGTTCTGGAAAACGAGCTGACATACTCAAACGATGTTATAGGAAATAATAAAATTTTGTATATTTGCAACTTCACCATTATTATGTTTATTCTAGCATTTCAATTTCAGTTTATTCATATATAAATTAATTCATTCATTAAGTAGTGTAGCCCAATTTAGGATTGTTAAAGATAAATTGTATTGGAAAGGTGAAATAAGTCATATATGGAAAATAGGCCCGTACAAATAAAGGTGAAAGACTTAGAGGAGATATTGGAACCCTTAGAGCTGATGGGGGTTCGTCAGAGAGAAAATTGGGCCAAAGAAGTGTTGATTAAGTAGAAAAGTCTTCCGAACTACGAGTCCACGTGGGAACCATATGAGATGACAGAACATCAGTTTCTAGATTTTCACTTTGAGGACAAGATGAAATGTACGCATAAACTTCTTCTAAATGTTATCTTATTTTCATTAAATTCTGCTTTTAATTTCGAGCATTTTGACATATAGAAGCATATGGAAATATTAATCTACTTGTATATGTATAACTCTTAAATGAATAGCTGTTTAATATTAACTGTTAATTAAAAATTCAATAATAATTAATTAACTGTACAATTATGTAATTTGTTTAATATAGTTTAATACATATGCTGTAGTAAAGCATTTAGCCAAGCATGTAATGGCTTGATTAGATCCTACGGCTGGGAATAGCTAAATGGCATTAGTGGATTTAGGTTTATATATATTAAATTAATAGTAGAGAATAGGGCATCAAATAATTAGTATATTAACCTTTTTCCTTAAACCCTTTCATCTTATTCCATTCTCCCTACCCGATAGAGACTCTGGCGCTGAAGCTGGCTGTGAAGAGCTGGGAAGGAAAATGCTGGTGCTGCTGCTATAGGCTACTGTAGAAGAAAAGAATTCAGCAAACTAAGGTAAAGAGATTAGGTAGATGCTGTAGTTAGTGGCTGAATTTATTACTGTTGCTAGAATTAAGTGTTGTTTGCTGAAATCAGCAATGAACATGCTGATGTTTGTTGAAATTTAGGTATATAAAACAGTTGGGAGCTGTTGAATTTGGTGTGTAAGTATTGAAATCAAAGTAGTTGATGTTGAATACGCTGCTGGAATCAGCTGTTATAGCTGAAATTAGTAAGGGATGAAGAAAGTTAGTTGAAATCAGATAAGGGCGTTTGTTGAAATTTAGTATGTTGTTGTTTGTTGCTATCGCTGTTATGAATAGGGGTTGTGGTAGTTAAATTTAGGAAAAGAAATAGAGGGGAAGTGAGAAAAATAACTTTAGGAGAAAAAGAATTTGGATTGAATGAGGAGGAACTTAATTAAGGTAAATTTTGTAAGATTTTATATTGCCTATTTTATTTTATTTTTTGAATGCATACTCTTTTTTTTTGTAGATAGTGTTGTGATCTCTCTAATGGTATTTGAATGCATACATAGAAATGCAGAAAGTTATGTTTTAGGTTGTACATAAAAGAAAAAGAAATCAGAGTACTTTAAGTGAACCAGTTTACCCAACTGTTCTGGAAAACGAGTTGAGATACCCAAACGATGTTATAGGAAATAATAAAATTTTGTATATTTGCAACTTCACCATTATTATGTTTATTCTAGCATTTCAATTTCAGTTTATTCATATATAAATTAATTCATTCATTAAGTAGTGTAGCCCAGTTTATGATTGTTAAAGATGAATTGTATTGGAAAGGTGAAATAAGTCATATATGAGAAATAGGGCCGCACAAATAAAGGTGAAAGACTTAGAGGTGATATTGGAACGGTTAGAGCTGATGGGGGTTCGCCAGAGGGGAAATTGAGCCAAAGAAGTGTTGATCAAGTGAAAAGGTTTTCCGAACTACGAGGCCACGTGGAAACCATATGAGATGATGGAACATTAGTTTCTAGATTTTCACCTTGAGGACAAGGTGATTCTTTGAGAGGGCGGTAATGTTAGACCGGTTCAACCCCAACCAGCCCCCTTGAAGGGGTCGGTTCTTTGCTACAGGAGGAGGGGCGGCAGCAAGCCCAAGGAGAGAGAGGGAGGAGTGGGTCCCACTAGGAATTCAAATTCAAACTATTTGAAGGCAAAGGAGGGGGCAGCAAAGGCAAGGGAGTAATTTGGCTTAATTAATTGATTGTATGCTTTAAGTAGGATGAAGGAATTAGGGTTAGGTTTTGATGCATGATTAGTGTTTCTCTTGGAGTTCTCTTTGGTGTTTTGGGCTCTAGACTTCTGGTCTAAAGATTGAGAGAGAACGATCCTCCTCTCGAATTGAGGATCAATTGTATCTTTGTTTCGGTCTTGCTTCGTTTTGATTTCTATAAGATTATCTACTGTTTTTTATTGTTCCAAGAAGAAATTTTATCTAAGAAGAAATTTTATTATAAGAGTAATTTTGAAATTCTGCTTGTTTTTAAAGTTCGTAAGTTGTTTGTATGGAAAGATACCGAGCGGTACATGTTATTGTTTGTATGGAAAGATACCGAGCGGTACCGAGCATGTACCGCTCGGTACCGAGCGGTACTGGCTCGGTACCGAGTTTTAATTCTTGTTGTTTTAAACTCCATGAGCAAATGAAGAAAGCCCATTACCTGCAGTTGTCGAAGCCAAAGTATACGAAAAAGGAAGCAGGTAAAGTTTAAACAGTGGTCGAACAGGTAGTGTTGCCTTCGGTTCCAGCTCCGACTTCACACGAAGCGTGACGAACTCAAACAAGCGGTCGAACATGAAGAAAGGTCGTTCTCGAGCACTCCTGCCAGATCGAAGAACTCACTTGTGGTCGAACACGAAGCAGCTCTCAAAAGGGACGAAGCGGAAGCAGCGCGCTCGAAAGATAAGGAATTTGTTCTTTGTTGTGAGCTCCGTCGAATCCTAATGAGGCGTCGCCTCACGCTGGCTCGAGGCGTTACGCCTCGACGAGTACGCCTCGCTGAAAAAAATCGCACGCCTTGTCAAATACATTGAGGCTTAAGCCTCAAGGCGCCGGGTTAGCGCCTCGAACTGAGTCGCGTCTCTATTCGGAAGCCTCGACCGCTTTTTTAATCTATGGTTCCCACCAAAGTTCTTTTATTTTTCTCGTTGTTTTACCGATTATTGTTAGGTTTTCTTGCGAACACAATTATTTCCCATTCGGGTTACTTGCGAACTCAAGTATTTCCTATCACAAACATAGCTAAAGATCGGGATTAATAAAATCACACATCTCTCAAAAATATAACAGAAAAAAATGTCATCTGGCCCAAAAACTTAGGAAGCACCAAGTGAAAAGATCTAACTTCAAATTTTCTTCTTAGAAAAAGGCTAATATAGACAATGAAGAAAGGGGGTCATCACAAGCATAAAGCTTCCGACTTTCCACCATAAGATGACTCCAAACCTCAATTTCTAAAAAGATTGTAGTAGTAAGAGAAGAAAGCTCAAACAATGTCTGTTTGAACATAATCAACCAAAGAAATATTGTGAATAAAATTCAATTTTCTTCTCCACCTAGCATATTTATGAAAGTAAATAGCGTTATGATCACCCTCCAAAAGCCATTTAACTTTTGACCTTGGATGCCAATAAATTTCTTACTCTTTCAACTTCTCGTAAAGCTAAAATTTATAATGATCATGTCATTCAAGCTCTAATGGCGAACCAATACAACATTTCAGTGTTGCATTCAATGCTATCAATTTTAATTAAAATAACATGCTTTTTTGCCCAAGAAAATTATGAATATTTCATTTTCAAAACTTACGCCTTCTTCTCAACACCGTGAATTTAGTACCCAAGCATTTAACACTATTACTAGCACTATGAAAGCCTTTCCACAAAGAAAATATCATTTCTTTAATAAAACCATCAGAATAAAGAAACATAATTGCAAATTTGAACAATTTCAATTTGACATAACGAGTTAGATTAGAATTAAAAAAAATGAATGAATGGAGAATATTTATTTTTGTCAA